TGGGTGGTCTGAACAGGGGAAGAAACATCTGACATGGGATTTACTGAGGTATTTAAGGGCATTGACTGATGTGCCCTGGTTATATGGAGGAGATTTTAATCTCATCCATCATTATGCAGAGAAGAGAGGTAAACAACTACCTAACAGCTATGAGATGCAAGGCTTCAACAAAGCCCTTGAAGATTGCCACCTCGAGGACCTTGGTTTCTATGGGAAGCCTTATACCTGGGATAACAATCACAGGGATGAGACCTTTGTAGAAGAGAGGTTAGACAGGATGGTTGCCACGGATTCATGGAGGAGAATTTTCCCTGAGGCAGGGGTATACCACCTCAGACGTTGCGGGTCTGATCATAACCCTGTTCTGCTTAAAACGAATGTTCTGATTGAAGATGTAAAATGGGGGCACTACTTTAAGTTTGAGGCTTATTGGCAGGACCATGAAGAGTGCAAAAGGGTCATTAAGGATGGTTGGGAGGAGGCAGGACAAAGTTCGATGATGGGACGAATCAAAGTGTGTGAGGATCGGTTGAGAAGTTGGAGCAAACAGACGTTTGGCAGTTTGAGAACCAGGAGGCTAAAAGCTGAGAAAGCTTTAGAGAGGATTGATAGAATGGTGAAATGCGAGGCAGTCCTGGCGCAGAGACGTGTTCTAGAGAATGAGTTGGAAGAAATTTTGCTTCAAGAAGAATTAATCTGGAAGCAACGTTCCAGGAATGACTGGCTCAAACATGGTGATAAAAACACCAAGTTTTTTCACCGAAGAGCGTCAGAAAGAAGAACAAAGAATATGATCAAGAGGCTCAAAGATGAGGATGGGAGGATGTGCACAGAACAGGAAGACATTGCTCGATGCATTGTTAACTTCTATAAGAAGTTATATACCTCGGAGAGGAGAGCTGGTTCAAACTCTGTGATAGAAGCAGTTCCTAAGAAGGTTACTGATGCAATGAATACTGAGCTTCTGAAGCCTTTCACAAGGGAAGAAATATGGGAAGCACTAAAGATCATGGGGCCGTTGAAAGCCCCTGGAGCTGATGGGATGCCAGCTATCTTTTTTCAAAGGAATTGGGATATCCTGGGAGATGTGATCACTACGGAATTACAGGGTTATTTGGAGGAGGGTAGCTTCCCTCAGGAGCTGAATCATACACTAATAGCCCTTATTCCAAAAAAGAAGAACCCCCAAACCCCAGTGGACTTTCGCCCTATAAGTCTATGCAAAGTTTTATACAAAATCCTATCTAAGGTGATTGCTAATAGGCTGAAAGGAATACTTAATCAGGTAATAGTCCCTAACCAAAGTGCATTCGTGCCAGGGCGACTTATTACTGATAATGTGATAATAGGGTTTGAGTGTTTTCACACTATGAAGCAAAAGAAGGCTGGGAATAAAGGATTTATGGCAGCCAAGCTGGATATTACAAAAGCCTACGATAGGGTGGAGTGGGATTTTTTGGAGGCTATATTGCTGAAACTAGGGTTTCATCAGAGATGGGTTCAACTGATTATGGTCTGTGTAACGACTGTCTCTTTCTCTACCCTTGTGAATGGGCATCAGACAGAAACATTTCATCTGAGCAGAGGATTGAGACAGGGGGACCCAATCTCCCCCTATCTATTTCTGTTTGTGGTGGAAGGGCTTTCAGCTCTGATATCTAAAGCAGAATGTGAAAAAAAGATTGAAGGAATAAGGGTGAGAAGGCAGGCACCTCAGATCTCACACCTACTGTTTGCTGATGACAGCATTCTTTTCCTGAGGGCAACTACGTCGGAGTGCGAGAGGGTTAAAGATATCCTCAGTCTATATGAAGCTGAATCTAGTCAGCAAGTGAATTTACAGAAATCGGAATTGTCGTTTAGCCCTAATGTCAGGCAGAGGAGAAGGAAGGAATTAGCAGAGATTCTGAATATGAAGGTGGTGGATTATCATCAAAAATATTTAGGCCTTCCTACTGCTATTGGTAGATCAAAAAAGCAGGCTTTCAACTACCTAGTTGATCGGGTTAGAACTAAAGTCAAAATGTGGAAAGGGAAGTTGTTATCTGTGGCTGGGAAAGAGGTACTAACAAAGGCTGTAGCACAAGCACAAATGACATATGCTATGTCAGTTTTCCAGATACCTCCAAGTATCCTAAAGGAGGCAAAACGAGCAGTGGCTCATTTCTGGTGGGGTCAGCAGGAGGAGGAAGGAAAGACACATTGGTTAAAATGGTCTGAGCTCTGCAAACCAAAGAAGTTAGGGGGGATGGGATTTAAAGACCTCCAGAGTTTCAATCTAGCTCTGCTTGGGAAACAGCTATGGAGGGTAGTACAAAACCCTGACACTTTAGTGGCACGGGTATTAAAAGCGAAGTACTATGAAGGAAGAGGTCAGTTGGAAGCAGAAACAGGGAGAAACCCGAGTTGGGTTTGGAGGGGGCTTATGGCTGCCAGGGATTTGGTGAAGAGAGGAATGAGGTGGAGAGTGGGAAATGGCAGGAAGATCGACATTTGGCTCGACAAATGGGTGCCCTCTAGCACAAACCAGAAGGTTACATCGCCGGTTACTAACTGGAGTGCCTCCACATCAGTTGCTGAACTGATGGATGTGGAAACGAGAAGCTGGCACACCAACCTGCTTCAGAGACACTTTAATCCTACGGACCGTGCTAATATCCAGAAGATACCTATTCCCAGACAACCCACAGAGGATAAACTAATCTGGGGAGCTGAGAAATCAGGGAAATATACTGTCAAATCAGCATACAAGCTATGGGAAAGCAGGCAGGAGGACGAGTTGGGGGAAATCTATACACCTGTGAATTGGAAAAGATTATGGAATCTGAAAATTCCCCCAAAAGTCAAAATCTTTGCTTGGAGGTGGGTGCGAAATATTATCCCTACAGGGGCGAAGGTATCTGATAGAATTCAAAAGGGGAGTGAAAATTGTCCGTTTTGCAACCTCAGGGAAACACAAGAACATATTTTTCGGGAATGTGATTGGGTCAGGAGGGTTTGGAGATATAGTGCGATGGATTCATACATAGAGAAGGGCGAGAATCTTACCTCAGAAGAATGGTACTGTGAACTCCAGGAAATGGAGTCGGACGAGCAGATGGGGGAATTCCTAGTGGCGCTGTGGTTCATCTGGGACCAGAGAAATTGTCATTTTTGGAACAAAAAGAAGCTCGAGGAATGGGAAATTCTACCCAGGGCGAGCAATTGGCTAAGAGATTACCTGGAGAAACAACTGAATCCTCGGCGAGCAGAAGGGAATGAAGAACGACGGTGGCAGCCACCGAAGAGAGCTCCGGTGAAAATCAATGTCGATGCAGCTTGCATGGAAGGGCGTGGAACAGGATGGGGAGCGGTTATTCGCGACGGAGAGGGTCGATTCTTGTTCGCGGGAGTGCGTAGATCGAGGACCCAGTGGAACCCGGAGGAGGCTGAGGCTATGGCGATCGGATTTGGCCTGGATTTGGCTCGGAGGTTCGAGATCGAAGAAGTGGAAATGGAATCAGATTGTCAAGGGGTTGTTTGGCAGCTGAGAAGAGAAGAAGACAGAGACACTGAGGTTGGTTTACTCTGTGCTGAGATTCGGTCGAAAGCCCAAGCTTTGAAGTTCGTTCAGTGGAACTTCGTGGGCCGAAAGAGCAACGAGCCGGCCCATTTCATGGCCCACACAGAGTGTAGTTGGAGGGGGAAGAGGTCTGGGTGGGAAGCCCGCCTCATTTTCTTGTATCTCTTTTAAGAGATGACTTAGGAGGAAACTCCATTTTTTCTAGCCAAATAAATACAGTTTCCTATAAAAAAAACTATTAGTCTCTCTATCAAATTATTAAAGGTTTTATGTCTGGTGTGATACAATTGAATATGATACGACGGAAGTGCAAATGCAATGTGGTGGTCAAGAAATGAGCTTTACAACTAAGGATGAATGCTTAAAGATCCCGATGCATGGATAATAACCAAATGAAACAAGTGAGGAGCAAGAAAAATTTCATTAATGACAAGTGCACAAACTTGTATTATCCAATGCAATCAATAAGTCAATGATAAATTCTTTCATGTAAAAAGTTCGTGATCTGGAATCCAGCTACTGTCAATAAGAAACTGTTTTACCCATCTTTGTAATCTAACTTCTTTTGGTGCAAATGCCTCCAAAAACAAGGCTGCCGTCCACCGTCCACGGTTTCAAGCCCTTACCTCTAGTCCAGAGCTGTCACTTTGTTACAATTAGAGGTGACAATTAGGATCCAAATCCATAAATCCAATTCAATCCATCCACCAAATTATCCACCTAATCCAATCCATTTAAATCCAATCTATTTTATCCAAATCCAATTGGATTGATGGACTCATGGATCAATCCATGGATCCAAATGGCAAATTACAATTTGGTAACTATATTTTTTATATTTTACATTTTGGTACCTAAAATTTATATTTTTATACGAAAATTATCATTGAAAAATTATATTTTGGTACCTAAATTTTTTCGTTATGACATTTTAGTACCAAAACTTTTCAAATTTTACATTTTGGTCCAAGCCTTGGATGTCATTTGGATTCATGGATCAATCCACCAATCCATTTGATCCAATCCATTTGATTCATGAATTCACCAATCCAATCCACGAATCCGATCCAATTGCCACCTCTAGTTCCAATGGCTCACCCCGCCTAGAATTCATTTGGCATCTGAATTACAAACAAAAGCTTTCCTCACTTTAGAAGCAGGTAGATCCGTAGATGGAGCACTGGGTGACACCATAACTATCTTAACCAAACTAAATTACAGTCAGTCACAGCTGGTTACTTAGGGTTCGTTTTGGGTGTCAAAATGTGAAATTCCATGAACTCTCCAGTCCCTGGATGTGAAATGAAAGGAATCTGTTAAAAGAGTGAAATGTTGACACTCCATTTTTCAGAATCATATGAAAAGTGGGCAATGTAGTTACACTGGAAAGAAGAGTGACACATTTTACCATTCCATGGAAAATAGGTCACACTCCATCGTCCGAACGACGCCTTGTATAGGCAAAAACTACTAACTCTGAAGTTGAAATCTGCAGCAGCCAGCAACCTATAAACTGAACAAGAAATTTCTCGACGGCAAGAAGTTTATTACTTAGTCAAAGACAGTGACACCATTCCCTCCAATATGTATATGGGAATGGGACAAGGCTCTCCCTTGTTCCAACCCTTTCCAATCATCAACATACAGCTAAAGCATATATACAACACACACTCGCTGGAAGAACCAAACAACAGAAAAGTAAACAGGCACAAGAACACTCCTTTCCACATTTTCGGCTTCCCACTGTAAAAACAAAAGCTAATCACAAAAGTAAACATCTTACTTGCAACCCTGTTATCTACTGCTTTCTGTCACACATGCACCACTACCACCTTCCTGCTCCAGCCCCGAGTTTTGTTTCTTCTTTCTAGCAAACAACCAGCCTCCTAGTATTACCCGATCAGCTCCCATATTCACAATGTTACAATTATTAGATTCAAGGATGCAGAGAAGCCAACGCCGCACCTGCAGCAGAACAGTGGAAAATCCACAGGTTAAGCGACTTACAAGCATAACAAATACAGACAACAAGAGGCAAAGCCGGAGTAATTGTAAGGAAAAGCGAAAGGTGTTACCTTTTTCACAAATTTCCATGGCTTTAGCTCAGAGGAGGGACTCTGGCTCAGAACCAGAAACAGAAGCAAACGATATGGTATCTTCCTTTGTTATGGATACAAAGTTCAATGGGGTAGTAGATAGCCTCCTCATTTCCTTGAAATACCCGTTACTCCGTCCAGAATAAGATCGTGGAGTGAGGGGTTCAGGTGTTCCACACACAGAGTTACGTCGTGATGTTGGAGTCATCGACCCATTCCCACGGTAACCATTTGGCTTCCTGAAGCTGTTTGTCTTTCGTGGGCTTGGTTTCGACCCGTACATCAGTTCCTTCTCTGTCAGCAGCAAATCTTGGAGCTTCTTTTGGTCCTTCAAAATGTGAAAACCAATTCGTCATACATTTGAAACACCAGCCATCAGATATTAGTTAAACTTAACCTAAGGGGTCATTTGGATTGTGGGGGGAGGAGGAGATTGTGCACACAATGAGTCAACAAGTTGTGCATAACAATCGCCGTTGGCCAACAAAATTTTAGGGTGTCTTAGTTGCAACGATATATTCGACAATATATGCAGAGGGGTATAATGACTGGCCGGAGAGGTGGCTTACTGGCTTGGAAAATCCATTATCCTTTTTCCCTTTCGTCAGTGTCATTGGTGCAAAATAGCTAACAGTGAATTATTTGGTATTTTCAACATTACTGATGCAATCCATCACCTATAATCTAATTGTAAGAAAACAGTTACCCAAACAATAAATAATGACAATAGATCTATTTCAATAGCTACTGTATTATTCACAATCTACCCATTTCAACAATCGTCCTTCCAAACGACCCTTAGCAACAGTATCTTCTTTATCACGAGTAAATCTAGTGTTGGGGTAGTAGGCTGGTCCTTTATTTTAGATAATTGTTTAAGGTGCCAGTCAAAATGGGCAATACTACAGGTTCTGTTTAATCTGTAGGATAGTAGGAGCAAAAGTCCATAAGATCAACTGAAACTATTACCCGGAATCTCCGTTTCTCCTCTTCTCGATGTTGTCTCGTCATTTTGTAATCCTCTAGTATCGACACCAATCTTACCTGTAGAGAATTTATCATCAAGATACATGTTCAATTTGTCAAGGAGCAATCTATTAGGCACCATAACATCAAATAAAATATAGCAAAAAAAATTGACGACTCACCCCATCGTAAAGGAACAGCATTTGCCTTTCATCTTCCCAGGCCAAGGTTTTATTAATCAGGTTGTCAACCATCACTGGAAAAATGTGCATATCAGCTTTATGCCATTGTAGGACCACTCAAAATAAATGTGAGTTATTCAGAATTATGGTACCTGGAATTTTGTTCACAGTGATTCGAGCTTTCTCTGCACGCTTTAGGTTAATGTGAGCACCTCTGCCAGCTGAATATCTGTTGTGATCCTGATAATGAAAAGAAACAGAGAAGTTAAAGGCGAAATTGCGAGGACCTATACAAGAACAGACAAGATTATGCTCACCGTGACATCAACAGAAAACTAATACTTGACACAAAAGGATACAGACATGCTATATCTCCACTAGTGACTATATAGTTGAGTATTTTGTTTTTACATGGTACTTCAATTGGTATATGGGTTTTGCTTACCAGCTCATAATCTTCAAGCCAGTTTTCCTCTTCACATGCTGAGAGCCATCTGTCTAGCCTATCCATTATTTCTTTCCTGCTCATAGTTTGCTCCTTTGCTTTGGTTATCTGGGCATCAATGCTTGCCAAGAGTTCGCCAGGATCGACTAAACCTGTGCAGTAACTATAGGATTAAGAAATTGATTTTCCTCAACAAACAAGCTTACTTGCAACTATTCACCCTCACAGTGAAAATAGAAACAAACGGTGCAAAAGACAACAAATTTCAAATGAGTGCATTATATAGTATATTCCAAGGACATTCGTACCAGAATCTATCAGTGCAGTGGATTTCTCAGCTGAAGTACTTGTGTCAGGTTCAATATGAGTCATTTTGCATATTTCTTCTAATTCTACTCTTTTCTTCATAACAAGCTCTTTCATTCTGCTAGCTTTCAGTTTAGTAAGCCTTTCCACTTCTGTAGATGCCTGTCAAAAATTGTCGATCAGAACAGAGCATCCAGGAAAAAACCATAACCCAAGTAGTATCCTAACCTTGTTAATTGTCTCCATTGAAAGGAACCCTGGTTCTACTATTTCAGACTCCGATGACACCAGAATTGAAGTAATTCTTGAAAATTCATTCTTGTCTGACTTTGATGAGTCCATCAAATTCCAAAGTTCACATAGTGAAGCTCCAATATCTTTCAGCTGCAGTTTCCAACATGAGTTTTTTTTACAAATGGTACTCAAGGTGGGGGGAAAAACCAACATGGAGAAGAATAACAGCATGTTCAATACCTTCCTTATCCGAGCTTTCCTTTCAGATTTCAATTTAAGAATGGTCTGTTCTAGACCCTCGAGCGTGGTATTGCTTATATTGGTTGACTGTTCTTGGTTGACTCCATGCAAACTTGGATGGACCTCACTCACAGTCCTGTCAAAATCTAAACCGAGCACGCTGCACAGAGAATGTACCTCATTCACGCACTCAAAGACCTTATTGAGGCGGTCCGACTGCAAGCCAAAGCGAATAGAGTTCAGAATCAGTAAAGGGGAACAATCTTAGATCAGCAATAAACGTGAACTTGAATGAAAGGTTTCTTGTATAGTCATAGATCATATAACAAAGGAAAATGCTATCTGTCATGTGTTCCAAAATTAAGAAAATGCTGGGATTTCTTAGAACTCCAGCCCCTACACTAAAGCTCCTGAAATGATGAGAACTTCATTATTTTATATCTTAAGTAGCTTTAAGATTAACAAACCTTCTCCTTTTGAAGGGAGCGGAGATGTGTCTGATATTCGTTTAGCCTTCTTAGTGACAAGTCATGCTCATCAAGAGATTTATTACTCATAAGAGAGTCATTGAGACTGGAATAACCAGATATCTCCCCACCGATCTTTTCAATCTGTGCTCTTATATCGTCAAATTGCTTCATCCGCTCTTCTTTCTTCTTCCTCAAATCTTCCACCAATGGTGAAACGGATGCAAGTTTCTCCTTTAACGACATCGCCTTCTTGTCTTTCTGGACCTGAGTCACAGGTAATGCCAAATTGGATACTTGAATAAATTGGCTTAACGTTTGCAAAAGAAAATAAAATATCTCACAAGTTTTCTCGTCAATGGTAGTTTTTCTTAATGAGCAAATTTTTTCATATGATCACATTGGACTTAGTTCTAAGTGGATCACGTACCGTTGAACGAATGTTAAGCTCCCCAAGGGCAGCCATGAGAGTTGCAAGCTCTGCTTCCTTTGCTGCCACAGAGTGATGAAGTCGTGCTTTGGAATTCGAAGCATCCTCCACCTTCCTCCGATAAACTTCTAAGCACTCTCTTTCCAAGTCTACCAGCATGCGATCTCGTTCAGCCTCACTCTCCCCAATTTCATTCCATATTTGCTGCTCACATGACAAAGCAGAAAGTTAGCATATTTGGAGTCATCTCGTTCATTCAATGATCAACAACAAACAGTTGGAACCCATAAATGCAGCAGGAACTACTTTTGACTAGCTTTCAGTTAAGATTCAAAACCAAAAAGACGTGAATTTTGCAAGTAGGAACGGCAGAGGGGTATCAATCAAAATTAGAAACCACACACTTACAACTAACAATTCCCTTCCCCAAAAGTTACAATCACTACTGTACCGACTCAAATAACAGACAACCAAACCTAAAGGATTAGGAATTCCAAAGTGCAACAAAATTTCAAGAAACCCCAAACCATGAGGAAAAATTCAAGTTTGTTTCCAGCAACAAACCAGAAAGGAATTCCAGAGAATCAGAAGTACCAATTAAAGATGTAATTATGTTCATTAGAAAAAAAGGAAAAAGAGGTTTTCACTGTGGAGTGTAGTTACTAACAACTGGAGAGGACAGCAGCAGAAGCCATACCTCCAGTTGACCTATCATTGCTGTCATTATTAGATACCCAAGTTCATTTAACAATTTACAAAAGGAAAAAGAGCAGCAGCCGTCAATCCTCTGTTCCAAAAAGAGCATAGGAAGGAAGGGAAATGGAACACAACCAACCATGGAAAGTTAAAAACTTTGCTGAAGCTACAAGTTTGTGTAATCGTTACTGGGAGTAAAAGTTAAATTTCCCAAGAAAAAAAGCAAAAGAAAGAACGAATCCACCAAAAAGTAGAAGCAAAGTTACAAGCTTGGAACAGAACCCAACCGACGGTTTTTGCAGAGAAAGCTAGACAGCAAAGAAAGAAGGAAAGAGAGAAAGAGTAGAACCTGAAGCTCTCTAAGTAAAGCGTTACATGTGGTGCTTGTACGCACACTGGTGAACGTGGGACTTCCAATTGCCAGCATTTCACCCCCCTCGACACAGAAACAGAGCTTCCTCTGTTCTAATTATAAGGAAAAGCAGAGGAAGAAGAAGGGTGGAGGTTTGATTCAGGCCGGCCAACTGAACGAATGTGGTAAATGTAAGGAACAGAAGAGAGAGAGAGAGAGAGAGGAAATGGGTTTTAGCAAGAAGGTGAAGGAGAAGGAAGAGAAGACGCCAAGAAAGTGAAGAGACACTTTTGGTTTCAGGTTCAGATCTGGACTTGAAATAATCCAAGCAACCAACCTCCGCCCATTTTTTCTCTCATATAAAATTTTGCCTGCGAACTTAAAACCCAGAAACAAAAAAGAAAAAGAAATAAAGGGAAGAGAACAAGAGAAGGATGGAGGGAAGGGGAGAGGGGAAAGAGACCAGCTAGTGGATCTTAAGTAGGTAAAATAGATTATTCAAGAAAGTGAAGAAAGCAGATAATGATTGGGATTAAGAAACTAGAGAAAGAAAAAGCTAATCTGGCGCAAATGAGAATCAGAAAAGACCCCATACCCACAAACCCGACCCGACTTAGGTGGAGGTTAGGCTAACATGCGCCGGTTTGTCAGGTAGAGGTAGAGAGGCAGCCATTTAGCCAAGGGATCGGCGGACGTTAGCAGCCGAACTCCTCCCTTGTTTTCCGTAGGGCTACAAATGAGTCGAATCTAGTCGAGTCGAGTTTTCTTTAGCTTGACTTCGGCTAGTTAACAAATGAGTTGAGTTCGAGCTCGGCTCGTTTATTAACGAGCCGAGTCAAGTTGCGAGCTAGATTGCTTAATAAAATCTTGACTCGTATTTGATATATTCGTTTTGTATGTAATACATGATATATGTGATTAATGCCAAGATGAAGAAAATAATAATAATAGTTAAGTGTTCAATATTAACTAATTTTATGTTATACTTTATGGTATCAAATTATTTAGTTAATAAATTTTAATTTGTGAAAATTATGTTATTTCACAGTATCGAAGCAATCTATGATACATAATTGCTTTTTAAAATTAAATAAAATATATTTGCTCACATAATCTACGTGTTAAACTTCATATAGAGTGAGATATATAATTTAACAATCCTATGAATTATCAAAATTAGGGATGGCAATGGGTAGGGTCGGGTGCGGGTTTACCCTATACCAACTCCTAACCCGCCGGGTAGAGTCTTTTAAAATATCCGACCAAATAACCACCGGGTATGAAAATTATATAACCATACCCTACCCACCGGGTAACCACGGGTATTCGGGTAACCATGGGTACGAATCCTAAACTATGAACTTAATATATGCACATACATATTGTTGTCCATTAAAAATTCTCAATACTTCTAATTGTTCTAGCTTCAACAATCCACACAAATAGAAACAACAAAAACATAATAATTGTTCTTACTTCTACAATCCACACAAACATAATAATCGTCTACATCTTCATCATCAATAATGGTAACTAAACTCAATTTCTCAAACTAAACTAAATTTCTCAAGGGAAATTGACCCTTTGGTTAGCGGGGCGGGTATAACGGGGCGAGTATTATCGATTACCATACCCGTACCCTACCCTTTATTTTGAAACCGGGTATTACCCGTACCCGCCCCTTAACCCGTCAAAGCGGGTAATTACCCTCGTTGACCGGTTACGGTCGGGTAGGGTACCCATGGTTACGGGTTGGATTGACATCCCTAATCAAAATCAAACTCATATAGATCGATTAGCTCATAACTCGGTAATCGAGTTGGCTTTCTAGCCACAATCTTGAGAGTTGAGACATCCCATGAGCTCTTAACGAGCCAGCTCACGAGTTGTGCTCAACAAGCCATCGAGTCGAGCTACCTCGCGAGCTCCACGAGCTGCAGAAGGCTAAGCTCAAGTTCGGCTCATTAGTAAACGAGCCGAGTTTCGAACGAGCTTTTTCCGAGCCGAACGTCGAGCCGCTCGCAAACAGCTCGCTCATTTGCAGTCCTAGTTTTCCGGCTGTCGCCTGTCTTTTTTTTTGTGTTAATTTTTGTATTAATTGGGACTTGGGAGGTTTCAGGTTTTGTAGTCCTCGCGGGAGGGATGTCAAAGGTCGGGTTCGGCATAGGTGGAGGGAGGGCATTTTACCCTTGGCCCAGGATAGGGTAATTTTCTAGGAGAGAAAAAATTAATCCCACATATATTTAACGGAGAATCGAATTCAACACTTAAAAGTAATTTAAAGATATTTTGACGCTACACCATAACTTGTTACTTATTGATTAATTGACAAAAAATAATTAATTTATTGGTTCATTCATGATACTATTAATCGATAATAGCTTGTTTGGTATTATCATTATGTTATGGCTGATGAGAAATTTGTTGGATTGGAATGAATTGATAAATTATCTTAGATTATGGTAGAGATAAAAGTGCATAAGTTTTATCAGTCAATTTATGTAGAAAGAGCATTTTTAGATTAACCTATATTAAGAACAAGTTTCAAAATTGAATTGACGATCAATTTGTTAATGATTGTTTAGTGGGAAACTTTGAAAGAGGCTCACTTAAGAGTGTAAACAATGAATGTATTTTTTCATAATATGAAAACTTGTCGTGGTTGTTTATGATATAAATAATTGTATTAGTCGGTTATTTTTTTATCTATGAATGAATTATTTGGATATTATTAATTTAAATTTATTTATTAAATATTTATATATTTAAATCATGAAAAAGGACAGAGGTGGTTTTGAATCCTGCCTCCGCCACTGGGGTTCAGGGGATTTTGCCAAACCCAAACCTCATGGGTTTATCTGCAAAAAAAAAAAAAAATCGGGATAAAATCCTTTGGGTTTGAAAAACACAAACCCAACCCAACCCGCTGGGTATCCGCGGGTTCATGGGTACCCTTGGATTTTTGTGTGAAAAATTACAATAACAAGTTTCTTTCACAATAACAGTAACATAAATTTTCTCATAAAAATTATCCATACAAAAAACACCAATCTAGAGAATACAAGCAAACCGCAAATTATAAATACACATTTATCAAAATTAAACTTAAACATCTATAAACAACATGATTAATTGAAAGTTTCTTTCTCCTTGTTAACTAAGGTTCTTCACTCTCCACACCATAATATCAACTTCACTATACACAATTAGAAAGAACAAATTAGACATGTCTCCACAAATATAAAAAAGATTAGTTGTTTAAGAAAGATATATTATTTAGAATATTAAATCTACCGAAAAAATTAATTATATGAGTGTGTGCGAGTTCCCATTGAATATACCTAAACCCAAACCTAACCCGTGAATAGTGTAGCGGATTTAAAACCAAATCTGAACACGGATTCTACTCGCGTTGACTGAATTATGTCGGATAGGATACCCGTGGATTCGGGTTTTGTTTCTCTGTTTTTGGTTTTCAGGGGTTTTTGTGGATTTTTTTTTTACAAGTTGTGGAGCGGAAAGAAGGAAAAGGCTAAAATTCTTGTTGAAAAGACGAGCATAGAGCGTCCAATAATTTGATCATATTCAGAAGAAGAATATTTCATTCTTTCGCTGAGCAAGACGATTAAGTATTTTTCTCTTATGACCCCAAATTACCTATGACCGATTAAGACCTCATACAATTTTTATATATATGAAAAATCGACTTGATCGTACCTGTAATTCACGATATAATAGATAAGTTTGTTACGTAAGGAAGTTGTATAAGATTGATATATGAGTCTTTTAAAAAACTTGAGTTGTTACGGTTAATTGATTTATAACATGATATCGAACTTCATCTCATGAGTTAGCTTTCGTTTGAGAATACATGTAAAAATCCATACACATATCTCTCTTAGGACAAGTTATTTCATAATATTATTGAAATCGTTTGATTTATGACATATTATATATAAGTATCATATGAGAATTTCAAAAGTAGCGTGGCGGATTTGGAAGGAGCCGGAGTCGTTACTTGCTAGGGTGTTGAAAGGTAAGTACTTCCCGCAGGCGTCTATACTCTCAGCGAAACGTCGCTCCAGACCCTCTTGGGGGTGGACTAGTATCCTTCATGGAAGGGATTTGCTTCTCAAGGGTCTTGGATGGCAAACTGGGGAGGGATCACAGGTTCGAATTATGGAGGATAACTGGATCCCGGGAATTCGAGCGGAGGACCTCGAGCTTAACATTTCGGCGCCTGATCTCTCGTGGCGACGGTTGACTCGCTGATCATTCCCGGTAAGGGTGAATGGTGTTCAGACTGTCTTAACCAGTGGTTCCCTCGGACGGTGGTGCGGGCTATTCAGTCTATACCATTGTCGAGGGGTGAGGTGGAGGACAACCAAGTCTGGACCGGTGAGGGGGATGGGGAGTACAAAGTGAAATCTTGATATCATTTGGCTTTCCTGTACGCTAAAAGTCTCCAAGATTGGAAGGCTGAGGTCTCCTTCTTTGATATGGATTTCTTGAAAAAGATGTGGGGAGTTCCCATTCCTCCAAAATTGAATTGTTTCATGTGGCAGATTATGAAGCGGATTCTTCCTACTATGGAAGTTATAAATGAGAGGATGGGTCGAGTACCAGAGGTTGTGGAACCTGATCTTGAAGATGATTCTTCTATCTCCCCTATGTGTCCGGTGTGTTGGGCACCTTTGGAGACTCTGGAGCACATGTTTCTATCGTGTAGAATGGCGACGGTGTTGTGGGAGAGGTCGTGCTTGGATGTAGGACACATGAGGCGGCCTCCTTCGAATTTTGCCTTGTTCCTTTGCAGATTTATTGAGCAGGATGCCAGTGTACAGAGGGTGATTAGGTTTGTAGCGTTGTTATGGAGGATATGGAAGAGTCGGAATTGGGTGGTTTTTTACCATGTCGAGTATGGGGTGGCTACGCTAGTCAGACAGTATGAGGAGCAGGTTCGCGAATGCTTGGCACGGGTCGAGTCCGGCCTTGGTAGTCAAGGTCAGGGGCAGCAACTCCGTGGACAGAGTGGTGGGGATCGAAGGCAGCAGGTTCCCTTGTCCTATCGTTGTTACGTTGATGGTGTTGTTCTCTCAGGGTCGCATGGTGCTGGGGGCTTGGTGGTATATGAAGGGTTGGGGAGGGTTTGTTTTGTGCAGGGCTTTCATTATGCAGGTATGGAGGATCCCTTTCTGGTGGAATTGGTGGCGTTTCGTGATGCGGTTCAGTGGTGCTCTTTGAATGGTCTCGTTGAAGTGCAATTCTGCGGGGATGCGAAGGTTGTCATCGAGAAAATTCAGAATATGGATACTCGGGATGTGAAGGGTGGGCGGATTCTTGAAGAAATTCGGAAGTTGCGACATCAGTACCAGCGGTTTTAGATGGCCTTTGTTGGCAGGAGTAACAATCGGGTGGCCCATGAGGTGGCTAGGAATACCCTTTCTTTGTTCCATGCGGTTGTAGATACTTTTGATTTTAGTCGTTGGTTTATACTAGGATTGTAA